CCGACAGCCTGGGGACAAGAACGAGCGGCTGGGCGGTGGACAGCTGGGACAATTGCGCGGGGAGGGCTCGCGGCCGTGCGCGGCGCTGGGAAGCGTGCGGGAGACTGCGGGCGCTGCTCCAGTCCGCGCTGCCGGGGGCAGCGGCAGGGAGAGGGAGGGGGAAATGGAGAGGGAGAGGGAAATGGAGAGGGAGAGGGAAATGGAGAGGGGTCCGCGCTGGGCAGGGGCGCTGCGGGCGCGTCCTCTTGAGACTGGGAGGCTCTCCCCGAGCTTCTGGGTGACCCGGCGCTCCGCTCCCATCGCCGCCTTCCCTGGGGTTAGAGTTAAAGAACGGTGGTTGTCAGACATGGCTTTTCTCCTCCATGGTAGTTCTGGATTAACGCTTGTGTCCCAGTAGACTGTTCTTGTGAGACAGGGCAGGCAGAAGTACCTGCGCGGTTTACGAGGTATTCGGGTATGTGTCGCCATTTCTTCGTAGTGTTGTCTTGTCCTGACAAACAGGGAGTGTTTGGTTCAGGAGCAGCTGAACAGGCCTGAGCTTTGGTGAGCAATTGCTTCTCTGATGAGGAGAAGGCCTTCATAAGCTTCTTCCCATTCTAGAAGGGTTTTTTGTGGAGGACATGTTTGCATTCAAAAGTTTCCAAAGCTTTTCTTACCTTATTCTCCCCTGAATGATTTGGGTCCTTAGTTGTGTGCCATTTGCTAATTGTCTAGAGAATTAAGATATGGGAAGAAGACTGAGAAAGAAAGCTTCTTGCGATTTGTTTGCTTTTAGTCATCTAAAATTTCATCTAGTCCAAACCCCTGCCTCTAACATTATTATTTAAAGTCAATTATTATGTAAAGCCATAAAAACAATATTAAAATTTAAGTCCTTGGAATTTGGTGCGAATATTTGATGACAATATTAGCATTCTTGTCATCTGCTGGGTGTCTCTTTTGGAGATCCTGACTTACACGGTAGATTTCTGTAGTGTGCACTGTACTGACCTCCCTTTGCTGCAACACCAAATCTTTATTTACCTATGGGTCAGCTATGCAGAGGCTGACTCTGTATTTCAGAAAGTTGAGACAAAGTAGGTAGCTTGGGTAGTCTTGTTTTCTAGTCCCAAGGAGCAGTGAACAAGCAAATGCTGGTGTGAGTGTTTCTTTGATGTGACATTGCAAGATACTTTTATGCTTTTGATTTTTATTTTGTGACTCTTTCTTCTCTGTTTCCTAACTCCTTATCACTCATGGGTGTCTTTCTAAAGATAGTCACAAAACAGGTACCTGAACACTGCTGACCTTGAAGGGGATAGGTTTTGGGATTTGCAGAAAATCACCTGTTATAATGGAATGTATGGATCTTTGTTGCTTGGCTTTCCTATACCCTTTAAGGCATACACCTGAGTTGTCCAAGTTTCAAAGGTAGTTTTTTAAACTTGGGGTTTGAAAGTTTCTGTTATTTTGAGTAGAATTTTCTAAAGACAATGCTTGTTTCAGTAAATCATAATTTAAATTAATGGGGCCAATGTACTCCATTTCTGATAGTGTATGACTGCTTAAGTCACTGGGGTTTTTCTGCTCTATTCAGTTGGGAGATAGAAGAGCATCCTTTGATTTTGGGAATTCAGTTGTCCCCTTCATTACCAATGGCTTAAATTATTAAAATTAGATTGATCCGTGGGGCAAATCCCTGGTTCTTCTCCTGAATTATGTCCTACTGTGTCTGTTTAACTTAACTGTTGTCTCACATGGGAGAATCATACACTTTCAATACCTAAAATTTGCATTAGTCTGATCCTTTTTCCTGCTTAGAATCCAAACTTTTCTGTTGCTGTCTTTACTTTCTTACACATCTGCTTTGTTGCATTTTTTGTATTTGGTGTCATATTATCTGGATTCAGAATAATTTAATGTTTTGTTGACTTTTTATTCCCTTATTTTCAGGAGTGATTTTTTGGTTTGGTCTTTTTAATTGCCTTATAAAGTCAATTCTTGTAATTAAATTATAAATCACTATAGAGTTTCCAGATGCCTGCCAACATCCTTGCACTGCTAGAATTTATATAGTGTGTTACAGATCACTGCAATGTTAGATGTCTATGATTGGGTTCCTACTGTAACTATACAAGTGGAAAGGTTACAATAAATCAAATTAGGATTTGGCAGTAAATTATGTAAGACTAAATGATCTCTAGCAGTTGAAACTAGTCAAATGTTCTGATAGACTATTGTAGAGAAAAGTAGCCTTAGAAATGCAGTTTTTTTAAGAAATCTTAGTGTACTTAGTACTTGTGAGGGGGTGATCACTTCTGTATACTGATAATATCAAATCATGTTTGAAAGAAACTTGAAAGTTCTCTTCAGTCACACCTAATTGATGAAATTTTCTCTTTCAGGTGGAAATAAGGATAATATCAGAGCTGGATGCAAAAAGTGTGGCTACCGTAAGTCTGTAATAAGCAATATGAAGTTACAGTGTTTTCTTTAGTTTATGATGTTGGTTGGAACTGCCTTTAGAGGAGAAGGGGGAAAAAGAAAGAAGTATTCTCCCTTGTATTCCCAGTATTCTGCCCAGATGTTTGTCAGTTTAAATTACCACATTATTTTTCTTTTATTTATTTCATGTTCATTCTCTGGTTTCTCAAATTATCAATGCTCTTTGAGTTTCTCAGGATAAAAAAACAAACTATTATATTTATACATCCTACATGTCAATGCAATTACTTGAGAAACTTTGCATTGAAAGCACCTTCTTTGATATACATTGAGATGAGTGCTTGTGCTTCTTTTGAACCTTACTGCAAAGAGGGAGGCATTTCAGTTTAAGTCCAATCTAAATCACCAGAAAAAATAGTTTAAAATCTGTATTATCTTTTATGCTAAGAAAATATTATTTTGTGCAGTGTTTATTTCAAGAAACAGCTACCTTTACTGCTTACAACTTCTGCAGTTGGCATTTAGCTCATGATTTGGATTATACACTGATTGTAAATGTCTGTGACTACTTTCCTGATTGATGGAGACAGGTCTTAGTGAAGATTATAAATTTTTAGTCACTGACTATTTATTATTTTTTGGAACTTTGGAGGAATGAACACTGTTCTGTACTAAATTGTCTTGAACTTTCAGCACAGTGAGTGAAGCTGTCCAGGTTTTTTATGAGTGTTATGTTGGGTGACAGGAAAAAAGATTACTTCATGCTTTCATTTCAGGCTTTGCAACAAATTTTGTCAATGAATTGCTTTTTGTATCTGTTCTTTCAAAGAACAGTGGATATAAATACAGATTTAGTGCTTTGTTTCTACATGCAACAAGTATCAGAAGCTTTCTGGTAGAGGAGGAAACTTGTAGTCAAATCACGCGATCCACGTCTATATGTTCTAAAATCTCTTGTCTTCAAGGTTAGGTAGTTGACATCATCCTTACTAAGAACATGAACTTATTTCAATTGCTACTTGAATTACTATGTCTCCAAAACCATATCTTCATTTTTTTTAAATTTCATTTTATTATTTCAATGAGAGCATCCAGCACAAGGTTTCTAGCTGGTCATGATTATCAAGATGTAACTTAGAAAACTAAAAATACTGGTCAGGTAGTATTTTAGTCAGTATTAAATGCTGGTTGTTAAAGATTATGTCTCATAAGCAAATAGAATTCTACAATTTCACTAGAGGGAATTAAGCAATGCATTTACTGTAGTTTTTGAAATATTTCATGCTTTTTTAGGTAATTTCTTTAGAAAGTATCTAAGACCATTTAAAAATAGAAACTGAAGTTGAAAAAAATCTTCAAATAAGCAGAATAGGAGAAAGGCCATAAAGCACTATTAAATGAAGAGCATTGAACAACCTATGAAAGTTCTTGGAGACTTTTTCAAAGTAAACTTTCTCCTGTCCCTTTCACAGATGACAGGCTGCCTTTTTTCCTTTCACTTTTCAAAACTGAGTAATACAAAAATCAATGTTACTTAGTTTTTGATGTTTTTTGGTAAATTGTGGTTTTTCTTTCTGTATATTTATTTTGTTCAGCTGGTCATCTGACATTTGAATGTCGAAACTTCCTCCGAGTAGATCCTCAGAGAGATATTGTTTTAGATGTTAGCAGCACTAGCAGTGAAGACAGCGAGGAAGAGGAACTACAGAGATTACAAGCCATGCGTGAAAAAAAGAGTAAGGTGTTTTTTGTGGGTCTTGGATAATAGTCTTCTTACCTGCAGGGACTCTCACTTTATCCTTTTTGATAGCTACTTTTAATTCTTTTAGCCTGTGATTTAAAAATAGGTCTTTTACTTCATGTGTTTAGACTTCAGAGATTTGATACACCTACACTCTTTTAGTATTATGATTAATTCCTTCTATAGGGAGTTATGAATGAACCCATTTAGAACATCTCAAAAGGGGCTCCTAAATACAAGAGATTATTGATCTTTTACTAAGAAGCTAGTAATGACATGAATGTTCTGAGTTAATCTTTTGATTGTGACATGTAGTTCAAACATCTTCTAATGAGAATATGACACCTGGATTTCTCTCCAGTTTCTGAGTAGGATTTTGACAGAAACATCTAGTAAATTGAAATTCAGTCATTCATATTTGGAGAAGTACTGTTCTATATTTGGAAGGTCTGAGTATCAACTTGTTGTTAGAGTGAGAATAGATGAGTTGTTTATCAGATACTTGAGTTCATTTGAATTTGGACTCCAAAGAGGTTGTTCACCCAAGAAAGAAGGGGAGTTTGTTCCACCATGGTGTGTTTTAAATGAATGAACTTTCTTCTCCTCTGCTCTTCTGTTTTTTATTATGTTTTGTTCTCTTGCTCTCATATGCTCTGACATTTACTTCCTAAAGAAGCTATGTAGAAGGGAAAAGGTATAGATAGAACCATATAGTTAGCTGTACACTTCAGTTGAAATGGGTAGGCTGTTTATCAAGAGTGCTGAATTGGTACTGGAATGGTGCTTTCTTGGAACAAGTCTCTTTGAAAAAAATACCACTTACTGTGTATTTCTGAATGTAAAGGTTGAGTTTTTTTCAGTTCTAAGCTGATTTAAGATGGATATCTGCAGGAAAAACAGCTGTTTATTTGACCTTCTAATATTCCTGTTTATTATATGTTCTCTTGCAAATTGTGGCTGCTACATATATTGTAAGGAGACATGTATTGTCAGTTATCCAGGCAGAATTTTGCTGGTTTTTCTCATCTTCTTAAGATTTTGCACTATTTTCTTTAAAAAATACTATTTGTTCACCCATTCTCATTCATATTTTTCACATTGCTCCAAAGGCAATTTTCTCTTTTATGTCATACTAAATTCTTTCAAGTTCCACTCCATAACATATAATTTGACCAATAATTTGTATTTGTGGTAGCAAAGGAATAACTACACCAGCATTCAGACTTTATGGAAAGGGTCATAGGAATAAAATGAAATACTCAAAATTTCCTCTCTTTTTTAAGGATAAATTGTAAAACCAGTGTTTTCCTGTTAGCTGAATGTGTATTTATGGTGGTGTATTTGTGGTGGATTTGCACTTTGGAGAGTTCAAAAGTATTTTTTGAACTGGTATAGAAAAATCTAAGGTCAGAAATTGCATCTGTGTCATAACATTGCTTGTAAGTGAAATGTGAAGTTACTGTACTATACCGTAGAGGATTAGGGCAGGAGGCAGACACACCCAAATGAGGGGTGAGTCTTCTGCTGGTCTCTGTAGGCAGTACATTAACAATTAACTCAAATGTATCTCACGGCATTTCTGTTTGTGAAACATGAAATGGGGATGTGTGAAAATAACTCAGGGAAACCTAACAGAATATTATTTTTTTTAATGGTTCTAGTTTTCAGACGTGGACAACAATATGTTAAATGTTGAAACTGCTAAAATACAGAAGAACAGATAACAAAACCTGAATCTGATGTAATCATGTAGGAAGAGGTCTTTTTGCTACGTTTTACAGGCCTGCCTTCATTCTTAGTGCTTAGATCAATGTCAATACAGTGTCAGTTGTGTATCGAAGTCTTGCTGCTACTGCAAAATATTTCTGAATTTGCTATACTAACCAGAATTTGGGGGAAGGAAAAGAAAGCCTTTTAACAAGAATTTTGTAATAACTTGACATTGCTATTGAAACTACTTTTTTAATGCTGATCTTAATTCAGATAAGTGTTTTGTAAACTTTAACTTTCTACCCATAGATTTAAATGAAGAGGAAGAAAAAAAGAAACAAAAAAGAAAAAGCAAAGAGAAAACAAAATTTAAAAGACCAAGGAAAAGGTAACCTTTTCACACCTCTTTTCATTTCAAAACATAGGTTTAGAAATATTTTTGATACTTGTGTTTTCTCAGGAAATACTGCTTCTGTTGATGCAAATTTATTTGCAAGTACATCTTCCACTTGAAAAGTCCTGTTTTCCAGTGAGAACTGATTAATGTTTATAATCAGTTCTTGCTGGATGATAAAGGTAATGGTAAAATAATAGTAAGGTAAAGGTTCTTAGATTTGTCGGGGAGTCACAGGCCTTCTGCCATGGAGTTAGGATAATAGGAGTCTTGAAAGCTCTAGCAAGTGGAGAAGGCTCACTGAAGTTCAGAGACCGTAGGGTTCTTTATGTGCACACGTGCATGTGTAAACACACCTGCAGGCACACACATGTGCTCTGAGTAACTGGCAGTTGTCAAAAGAGAAACCTCTGTAATACTGAGTTTTAGAAGCCTAAAAGCAGTGTTACTCCAGTTTCAGAGGAAAATGTTATAATAGCCCAATGTTTGTGAATCTGAGTTCTGGCCTGTGGACAGACTTGGTTTCTTGGGGATTTTTTGCTTTTTTTTTTTTTTTTTAAAGTGAGACTGTAGATGAAACAAAGTAATGTTTTGTCATTAGGACAACTGATAAGACAGTATGCCAGGAACTGCACTGGAAGGTATAAACTGTAAAATGTATTTGGAGACCACAAGATGTCCCTCAGATATAAAGGAACAGGATTTAATACCTGTTTCATTTGCATTTTTCCTTTTCTTTATTTACATTGTGTAGCTCAGGCTTCCACTTTTGAAGACAGCCCTTGCACTTGTGAAGAAGTAGAACAGAAAAGAGTCAATCTTGTTGGTTTTCTTTACATTCAAGTAATATTTAAGTAAACAATAGCACAAATGTCCTCTTTAGTATTAATGAATATTTAATGACTTTTATTGTCATCACAGTTCTTTTATGTATGTAATCACTCATCACTACTGGTTAGAGACCAATAGTATGAGCTGCAAAAACATAAAAATTTTTCATAACTGTTCTCTTAGATTTTTGCATCAGGTACATATATCTGAAGGCATTAATTAGCATTGTTATTGATCATTTGGTATTTTAAAACGGAAGCTCTATCTTGTTGTCTTTATTTTTTGATGGTCTGTACTCTTGGTTGTTGTTTTCTCAAAGACTGAAAACCCACACAACTTGCCTATTCCATTATTTTTTAATCTGTATTATAAACATGTTACTTTTCTAGCATGAAAGTCTTAATTGGAAAGTCATCATTTAAGTTAAACATGCAGATTCAGATAACATAAGGTTTCCAGGGGGTGCTACTGTACAAATTCTACACCAAATTCAAATTGTGACATTATAAAAAACGGACACCTTAAATGATTATTGTGTTGTTTTCCTTCTTTAATTACATATTGATCTGCATTTTTTTTACTAGATCTTCCTCATCAAGTTCAGCAGAAGAGGATGAGCCAAAGTCAAAAAAACAAAAATCACACAAAAAAGAAAAGGGGAAAAAGCATAAATCTAAGAAAGGAAAACATCATAAAAAGGAGAAAAAGAAGAGACGAAAGGAAAAAAGTTCATCTTCTAACAGTTCAGACAGTTCAAGTAGTGACTGACATGCTGGTCTGTTTTTGCTTCGCTTCTGCAGAGAAGATGATTTTCCTTTCAGAGCAAGTTTATTTATGCTTTGCAATGCTGTTGTAAAATGGGATATATATATTTTTGACAAATCTATTTGCATACATTAGTGCTTCAAATTATTAGATGGACCATTTATGAAAAGAATCTGCTTTTCTATTTCAGATTTATTAGTACTAATGCAAGTGGTTCTTGACTCTTATTTTTAGTTCAGTTGTGATTGTGTTTGTAACCTGTACAGTAAGATGTGGTAAATTTCAGTTTGCAAGCCTTTGTGTAGAACGATAAGGACTTAAATATGCTTAATGTCAGAATGGTTACTTCAGATTTGGAAATTCAAGTGAGATTTTCTATTACCCTTTAAATAAATGTATGTTTTACATAATGTTTTCTGCTTACATACATTAATCAGTAAGTGCAAATATGAATCAGTGTTCAGGTCCTGAGAGGGGAAGAATGAGCAATGGGAAGCTAAAAAAGATCGATCCTTCAAAATTATATTCTAAAATCGATCTGGTCATAGACTGTGAAGCATAACTACATATTCCTTTGGCAGGATCACTATAAGCAAGCTGAAAATAAACATAAGCAAACAAAGGCTACTGATTTTTAAAGTTCTTTTTCCTTGGGTTTTGTTCTTTGTCATTTCATCTTTGACATAGATGTAAAGGTTTGGATATCAAAACAAGACTTCCAGTATTGAACTTCAGCTATTTCTTCATTCCTATCAATTGCTATTAGCTTCAGTTTGCATCTGAATCAATCAATCAATCACACTTTTGAAGGCTAACCTTGGCATAACTCTACAGCAGTGATTGCATCCCTGCTACTCCACAGGCTCCAAAGGTCTTGCAGTACAAAGGTGATGCTAGTACAAACAAGTGCCATTCCCTGTCAGCTTCTCTCCGTTACAGAATGAAATGACCATTTCCAGAAAGAAAGACAAGAACAAAGCATATGAATAGTATATGGAGTGAGCATGACAAATGCATAGAGTAATGAAGACTTAACAACCTTCATATGCTTTCAGTAAACTCTGAAATGCAAATCAGTCTCTGTCAATTGGCACCAGGAAACAAAAGCAGATACTTGGTGTTTCCTTCAGTCATCTTTCCCAGGTAGTGGAAGAAAAATGTGCACATTGGCAGTTGAGCTGCTAAGATGGGAAACAAACTGCTATAAAATGCACCAAATCCTGGAATCACTGAATTGAAACTGAATGAAGCTCTTGTTTTACAAATAGCCAAAGAAAATACACAGTCACAGCACAAAAACTACAGCTTAAGTGTTCTCTGCAACTTGAGAGACACCAAGGAAAACCCTTCAGTCTCTTTCACAGTTTAAAGTGTATACATTTTTAAAATATACCTAGAGTAACTTAAAGCTACTTTCAACACAAATAATTTTGTGTAACATGTATTACCCTAATCTGAATACATATCAGATTAGGACAGTTGAACAGCACTTAAATAATATTTTTCTCTTTAGATTCTGCCAAAAGTATACTTCCATGCTTAGTAGTTTTCACAGTCTTTAGAGCCATTTTAACAATATACTTGGCATCTTCATAATCTTAAACTTCTGAAGTCTTTTACCTGCTACTAGCATCATCTTGCAGTGAGGAAAGCTGTGTGTACAACTGCAATTTAATATTAGTTTCCTGTGTTGATGCCATTTGGGTTTTGCCTTTTTTTTTCTTTTCTATGTTTTCTGTACTCTTCACACATATATTTGCAACTCTGTGACCTATTGTATTAGTAGCTAGTTTTCCCAGTACTTTTCCATGGCCTTTCCCTAAGCAGAAAGACAAAACAAATTCCAGAGCTTCAAGCCCAGCGGGGTACAAGGCTCTGTGCTGTCTTGGTTATTCCTGGGAACCAAGGCTGAGAATAACTCTTCAAGTTACATTTTCATGGACAAAGCACAACTGCTGAAGCAGGTGCTCCAGAGAAGGGGCTTGACCTGGAGGGGGAATTCTTGTCCTAAGTGATGCTTTTAATCAATTATTTCAATTATTTCAGGAAATTTTAATTTCCTAAAACCTATGAAAATGTACTCCCCCCTGGGGGTGGGGGGTGTGGGCTTTTGTGGACATCTTTCCAGAACTGTTCCTGAAGGCCTTAAAGTAAAGATCCCCTTTTATATTACCTCCTTATTAAATTACCGAGTTTCATTTCCAGGTTGGGCAAAGAGACAACAGTGATACCACTACAAGCTCTGCCAGCACTGAAATTTGTATGAATATTACTTTAAAGATTTAGTCATTTGGTAGTGTCAACCTGTATTGTTTATAGGACTCTTTCCTGAATATTTCCTGCAGTTTAGTCAGATGCTTTCTCTGTTGTATTCTGAGCTCTCCTGGTATGTGTTTGTTCTTGTGCACTCTGCAAGGAAGCATAAATGATGGACAAACAAAAGTCTTAGCCATAGGTACTCAAGAAGTAGAACAAAAAGAAAAATAAATTCTTTGTGATGCAGTACTATTATGCAGCTTTATAACTGGAAGATTTTGGTTTATTTTGCTTCTAAAAAAAGTCATAGTGAAGAATCATAGCTCAGAATTGCAGCAAGACAATTATGGATAGAAAAAGCAGTGTCTAGCTCTGAACTTGGACTGAGTAACATTTACAGGCTTGTTCTTTAAGGACATGAAAGCTGCTGAGATAATGCACATTGAACTCTGTATTTATTCAGTGCTTTTGTAGTTGACAACAGAAAAAATCATAGATGCAGATTCCTCTGAAAAGTATCATGAGTAATGAATCTGACGTGGTGCTTGTTATCTGTTTCACGTAACAATCAGTTCTAGGAACTCCTGGGATGTATTTTTAGATCATCTTTTGCAATTCCTCACATCATCTCTCTCCAGTCAAAAAAGGACACAATCTGTTTGTACGCAAAACAGAATGTCAAACATCCCAAACTTTTTCTCTCAACTGATGATTCAGTTGTGCTCTGAAGTCTCCACAGTAGAGCCAGTGGCAAAGCTGTTAAAACTTCTGATATTGCCATGTCTTGTGCAACCAACCTATCTTACCTTGTGAAAATTACCACACATGACAGACTCTCTTGGGCAAACACACACTTCAATACTACAATACACACCTCCTACTACAATGCCTCTGCCCCAAGGCAGTAGTACCTAAGAAAGACTAATAGAAATTATAAGATACAAATCACTATGAATAATAATAACGGTGAATAGAGAAAAACATGTCAAAAATGTTTCTGTAGTAAAAATGCCAGAACATTTACACTGTTCACAAGAAATTCTAGTATAACAATCTATGAAGACGAATTCAAGTGATAAAGAAGAACATGAGATGAAGTGGTGGTAGCAGAAAACAAAAAAGCTACAAGAGTAAAGAACCCAAAGTTTATCTAGAAAAGCAATGTTATCATTTAAATAATAGCAATAAAGAGAAAAGTCTGAAAAAGGCTATTTTGTAGAGTTAGTTCATTTAAACTTCAGCAAGATGTGGTTTATTTACAGTTTGCTGTGTAAGCTAAGTATTTGTCCCACTGAGAAGGTGTACTGTGAAGGAGTGATTAATCCTTATTTATCTGTACTGTGTATTTTCCTCAGGCTTTAACCTAGTATAATTGTTTATAACATACCCTGCCAGAATTTTGACTATCAGAGAATTTTAACAAAGAATAAAGTTGACCTGTAAGAAACACATTGCATGTTTTTAATTGTCCAGGAGTAGATTTAAGCTGAAAATTGGAAGAAATTTTTTTTCATCAAAGAACTGCAGTCCCAGAAGAGCTAGAAATAACTTCTGGAAGAGGGAGCCGAGTACATGTAATTGCTCAAATGAAGATATGCTTGCATTAGATAGTAATAGACTGGACAAATAGATACAGGTGCTCTCTTGTAGATCAGAATTCCCTTTGCTAGTGGTATGTAATACATTTTTTAAAAATAGAAGTGAGAGAAATACCACTCCAAGAAATGGTACAGATGTTACAAGGGAAAGGCTCAAAGTACTAGTGAGATGGAGACTGGTAGTTCAAAGCCAAGTGAGTTCAGGCAGGAAAATGTCTAAGACTGGCAACACAAGGCTAGATCTGGACAGCACATTATGCATACACTTGGAACAGCCGAAGCTGAAAAAAACCAACCTCCACATTAGAGGGTACAACCACCAATTAAAGAGTAAAAGTAAAGTTAAAAAGTTAAGTCTTGAAACATGGGTGGGGCTAGAAAATAGAATCTCAGGGAAAATAGTTTTGGATTTGAGACAAATTATTCAGGTGTAGAACAGTTAAAAGTCATTGTTACAACTTTTGCCACACCATGATCCCTAGAAAATATGTCCTGCCCACTTGTATTTAGCCTAGTTCAGTTTTTTGAAGGAGAAAAGGCTGGTTCTGCTGGCAAAGGGTAAGTTTTCCTGCATATCAGTCAGTGCCTTCAAGGTTGTAGAACTTAAACAGGACCACAAACTTCCCAAAAAATGCTACAAGTCTTCATTGATTGGAGTGACTTACGACGAAGTATGAGCAGAAATAGATGTTTCTTTAGCTTCTCTTGCCTCTTGTCTACAAAGCTGGACAATAGGTAGGATGTCTCTTACAGAGGTAATAAGGAATTTCACCATTACACAGACATAAGACCAATAGGCATTTAATGCACCACTGTATATTTATTCCTCAGATGGGACAGAAGTTGGTTATTGTGTCTCTCCCATTCTCTGACACAGATTTTCTAGGTTGTATTGGATATACATGGACCTATTATGTAAGTTAACATGCTGATTTTTTATGGTACCTTCTCATTTTGGGTTAGTTAACATGCAAGCTGCAGCACGTGTTAGCGTGCTGTCTACTGCTGTATGCTTGTATTTTGATTCTACTCTGAAAAATTTAGACTTTACAGTGTACATAGTTATGTGATTTCTTAGACTGGTATTTTTTATGACATTAAATGTGAAAAATGGGTGCTGCCAGTGGAAGGTGGCTGTAAAGAACCTGGTTTTGAAAAGCTGGAGGTACACAATTTTAGTAAAAGAGAGAGTTGGTGAAATTTGACATATTTGGTGGCAAGAGGAACTTATACTTGCTTCCTACCCTGAAAAATAATGGTGTCCTGAACTTGTAACACTTTCAACTAAAATGTTCAAACTCCAAGAAGGATTTAGAAAGCAAATGCTGCTTTCCTCAGTATTCTCCTGGAATTGCTTGTTACCATTTGGGAGTTTATTGTGAAATAGGGGGTATTTCTAAGTACTCAGAAAGAAAATAATGTTTCTAAACAATCTCTAAATAATCTGTATTTCATTTCATTGAGGGAACTTTTAAACTTTGATCCTACACTGCCGTATTCCATTAAATTAAAATGTAGAAATATCATTAACTTTTATCTTTATTTTACTGACACCATGCTCTGGGGCTTAAAAAGTTTTCTTGTTTCCTTTTGAATTAGTAAAAGATAATCCACTGCATTCCTAAGTAAACCAATGTATCCCTTGATACCTCATCAATTCAGATACTTACCAGGACTTTGTTCATTAAAATGTTTATACATTTGTCTTACTAATGTATGTTCCATTGCAATAACTGTGGTTAAAACACAAAGATATGAGCTGTCATACAACTTGGCATATGAAATTCCCTGTGAGGATATGTGGTCAGGTAATGAATAAGACATGGTCACTGCTTTATCTGCCCATCTGATTCTCTGTGTGTACCAATAAAACAGGACTTCAAAAGAAATCTTGAGTGAAATTTTCTTCCCCCCTTTTCTTTCTCACGGCATCACTGTACATTCAGTCTTGAATGCTTACATTCAATTTTTCTGGCATTAATGTCTGTCTTTTTCACTTATGCTGAAAAAAATTAATCGGTTAATTGTAACTACTAATCAACTTTGTAGACATTATTTTTAATAGCCATTAGACACCAGCTGTTTTTCCAAAAAAGCTTTTTAAACTTTATTTTCCAAATTTGTTTTTTTAAGAGTTGCAAAACCTAGTGTATCTGTGAGGATGGAATCATAGAGTGAGTCTACTGTTTTGAGAGTTCTAGTGAGAACATGTCAGTGCTGCCTGTTACGGACAACAGCTCTGATTAATTAACACAAGGTTCATGAGAAATGTGCAGGAAGCTTTAAAGAATTAACTGTGCTTAAACATTATGCTGTGGACTTTGATTCCATTCTCTTTAAAAATGTTTTTTGCTCTCACAAGCACATAGTTTTGTAGGGATCTCCCCATTTCAGATGCTTAGCAATATTTATGCCTAATTCATGCCAGTTCATGACCTAAAATCTTCAAACACGCTGAAGTTATCTTTTTTGGTGCTGTTTAAAGAATTTAGTCGTGCATATTTTTTTAATCTTTGTAAATATACTTGCTGAAATGGAAATATTGTCACAAATTCATGCAGTACTCTGACAACATGATTAGAAAAAAATACATAGTCTGGTAATACAACTAGAAACAAGACAACGTTTAATTTAAATAAAAAACTTTATTAACAATGTAAAACGTTTAATATCTTACAGTCTGAGATAATTTTGGCATGCCTTATCAGATCAATACTTAGTGATATGCAGACACCATGCTTTGAGTTCTACTGGCAACAAAATGGGTTGGTGTTGTGTTTTACATTGTTTATTTTAATACACCTTCTTTTAATAAATTACTTTTTTTTTTTTTCCGAAAAGCTTGTAGATATACTATTGGCTTAAAAGGAATTCTGTTGCTTCTAAGCATTGTACAGTTTGAGGATATTATGATTTCTCTGTATTTACAACTCCTAACTATTTTCATATATGGTTTTTGTATAATAAATTAAGGTATTCTTCTATAAAGCTTTGAAGTTGAGATACAGTGGAAGACTAAATATGAATGAGAGCACAAAAAGCAACTGGATTATATTTTATAAATTCTGTTACAATATTGTTTTAATGTCTTAGAACCTTAATAGTTTTGCTCTTAAATAGTTTCCTATGCTTAAAGACTGTGAGAGAATAATCAAATGTTCTTCTTCTATGCTTAAAGACTGTTAGAGTATGATTTTAATATGATACTAGTAAGAGTACTGTACTATGCACAAACTTTTACCGGTGGCTCAAACAATTAAAAAACCCTCTAAAATTATCTATGAACCATAATTCTTGTGTCTTCTTTGAGTGACTGAAAGTAAGCATGCAAAACATACTTTAAAAAGTTTTACATATGCTAGATCTGTTACACAGCCTTTCAAGACTTGAAAGTATTAAAACCCTTATCTGAAAAGGAGGATGGAGCAGAAGGCAAAAATTAATAGCTTAGTGTAGAAAATATACTTTATAATCAATATTAGCCACTTTCATCTTTTCAGTCATCAAATAATAGTGGTTTAATCAAAGTCATGATCTCCATGGTACTCCTGTGCTTAATCTTCTAACTTGAGACAAGACAACACAATCCAAAGAATCTTCGCTTCCGTCTTCTTACCAGTGGGTAAGGAGTCAAGTTTAGGAGGCTGCTATCATCTGTGATGAAAAACCCCACATCTTAACAAGCATGTACCCATATGCACAGAAAAGAGATTACATCATTTATGTGTCCTAACAGCACCTGCATGATCACAGAATCATTTATGTTGCAAAAGGTATCTGAGTCCAACCTATAACCCATCAGCACCACATCAACCAGACCATGGCACTAAGTCCAGCCCTTTCTTGAATACCTCCACCACCTCCCTGGGCATTCATTCCAATGCTTGACAACCCTTCCTGTGAAGTGGTAGATCCCATAGAGCACAGAGCACCTGAATTTTGCATTTGAGAGTCATACAGTGCTAATTAACAGGATCTCCATAATAATTATGATTACCTGATCCTGGGGCATATCTCCGAGTTTTAAAACTCTGGGATGCTTCCTATCCTGCTGCACTGGTCAGTGTTGAAGGGCAGTGTAGACAGCAGGCAACAAAGAAGAATTCTCTACACCCTTATCTCTGTTCTGAATTCAAGTTTCTCCATGCATTATATCCCCTCAATTTGTCTTTCCCTTCCTTATTTCCAGCACACTCTTTTCTTCTACGTTAAGCCTAGACTTTTTATCACTCTTCCAGTCTTTACAATCGCACATTTGTATCACAAGTGATTCCCTTTTTCCTTGCAGTGTAGTCTTCAATCAAGCTATCCTGCCATGAAATCTTACTTGTATAATGAATACAATCATTCTACATTCATCTCATAGCATATTATGATGAATGCTAGGCTGCTTAGTTACTTGGAATGAGATCTAGGACACATTCAGTACATTTCATCAGCTGCCACCATGCAAAAAAATGCACCACATTTAAGGAACACCCATTATCAAGAAGAAATCAAAAAGAAAAATCATTATCTTTTTTATGCTGTTCTCATGAACAAAGAGTGCTTGTAGATATGGAGTATTTACCATGCCAAGAAAATGAATGCCCTTTGCTAAATACATGCATAGGATGGGGATCCTGCCCACCTGTGCAATTCTATGGGGTGCCTGATTGCCATCTATGGGAAAAGCAGCCTGGTGGCAGACTCAAGGGAAGCAGCTTTTCTGCAGAGTCAGTGTCAGGTCACAGAAGGCATGAGCCTTGTAGGGGTGAAGCAAACCACATCATTCAGAAGGATCCCTTAGTCTGTGCAATTTGCACCTTCATTGCTTTTGAGAAAGAAGGACTCCAGACACTGGAGTTGTGCTTCTGCCTTTGTATCAACAGGAAAGGTCTATTATTTTATTTATACATACTGTATCTATAAATTCCAGAATACCTCATGTGAAATTCAAGAGGCCAAAGATCACATACTAGATTCTGGCTCCACTGAATCAGCTCCACTGAATCAGAAATCTAGATTTTATCTAGATTTCTCTTTTTCTAGTTTCCATTAAAGAACCCTAGATTTTTTTGTATATAAAGGAAGGAAAATCCTTCTATTATCTTAATTTTTATTAAATAAAGAAAATTCAAAACCTACCTTGATTTTTCAGTGGTAAAGGCATAGTCTCCCTGAGTTTACTTAAAAGGTTCTTCATTTCTCTCATATCTCTGTAGATACAACAGTTAAAAAAGATACAATGGAACAACAATTGAAGACTGCATGGGGAATGGCCCACAGTATAGTTTTATATGCTAAAACAACGGAGTGATAAATACAAGAATCTACTGAGCAAGAATTCAGTTTACATACATGTATCTAAAGATTCATACCAAAAGAAACAGCAAAAAAATTAATAGGGGATCACTAACTTTTTCTGGTTCAAATTTATGACCTATTCTGGCACTTGAATATTTTATATCAAAAGCCTTTGGGGACACAATGTGATCCTAGTGGCAAAATACACAGTATGTATTAAAACTAATAGTAGCTAGTACTAATATCATCTTCATACTGCTTATAAGCATTTTGTAGCTTGTGCCATGAATGTGTTTCACTGTTCAGAAGAAAATTATAACACATGCAACTAACCCACGATACTTAACAGTGCACATGAAATGAAAATTTTAGAAACAGGGCTATGACTCTCACCTGCCAGAGGACTCTGGCATTAGATTTTCTAAAAGGGAGATAAGGAAAATATGATAACAACACATCATCTCCAAAAGAAAATTACACTTTGAAATGTTTTGAAAGGGGCCAGAATTTTCAGGTGGTTTCCGTTTTATGCACAGATGGCAGGTGTACATAAGCTTGTAATGTCTTAATGCTTTCAGGATTTAAAATCAATAGTCTTGCTTCATTCCTCTACACATGAAATGGTTCTCAGAAATGCAGCAGCATGATTAGTAAAAAATTGCTCTGTTCATTCTCCACATTATGGCCCAGTAGAACACAGTTTGGCTTTATGTAAATAAGCATGATAACAATCCAAATCTCAGCAGCAACTTAATATACAAAGCCTCAAAACAGAACTTTTTGCAAAGAAATGTTAACCATCAGGATTACTCTACAGTAAAGGGTCTAATTTTTGTCTTTCAACTGTATAGTTAAGAGAGTACAATAATACCACTACAACATTCCCCTCCCCTCCTAAAACTTCCAAATTTAAAATTCTGGGCAGAAATAAGTGAAATTAATTAGATTCTGTGTTTTTGATTTTGAAATGCAGAATTGGAGCTCAGCATATTTCAGCCACATTTCACAAAATCAGAAAATCTGATGTACCAGAGAAGTTAACAGGTTATTCAATTTACTTATAATTTTCATAGTAGCAACACTGGCTGCCAAATTAAAAAAGACTAAATAAATCCTAGAAGGAGATTTGTTTGTTTTGGAATGAAGTGCTACACATACCTTTCAGTGTTTTCAATATCTGTGGAAACCTGCCATAGATGCTGTTGAATATCTGTTGGTGATAATGACGTGTCTTCTAAAATAGGTACTTCAGAACTTTCCTCCACTTTAGTATCTAAGTTCTTGGGTGGGCCACAAGGTTCTTTTCCTTTAAAATATTTAAACAAAACATGTATCCCTATTATTTACTGATTAAAATGGATACTCAAATTACCTAATTGAAGCTTTGAACTTGACCTTGCACAACACAAATGGAGAAAAAGGCTACTTAAATGCAAACTCTTAGTAAGTACTGTTCAGAAGCAGAGCAGACCACACCAAGCTGCAAATCAGAGTGCTGCCCTATGTTACTCTTACCAATTTGAAAGCGTTCAATTAAACTCCAGTGGCTCTCATGGAACACAAAATAAAAGCCAGGAAGACAAAACAGAACGAAATAAGTGAGGAAACTATAACACACGTTGTGGAAACAATTTCAAAACTCTGACACTAAAGAACACTGCAATCCATGTCCCTGAGTGCTACAGCAATACTGAGAGAAATCACAAGACAAAAATGTGAAATTCTGTACTTCATGGTTTAACAGCAATATGAAGCTGCCACCATCCACAACCCAAATGAATTACATTCCACATTTCTGTGTTGACACCTACCTAAATTCCACTCCCTGTATGAAAATTAAATACAGTGAAATTGAAGAGGGGGCTTTATGACTTTCCAGGGCTTTTGTGAGGAAGAGAACGGGATAAAGGATGGATAATGGCATGATAATGGAGCATGCAACAGAGTTAACCTTTAGCAGAACATTTTGATAAACCTGCAAATCTCCTTTGGACTACCTGATAGCATTCCTTTTCTCTAGTGGCAAGTGCAATTCTGGCACCAAATACAGAAGAAAGTGCACAATGGAGTGTATCCCAGACAAGTGTCAACATGTAAACTAGTAGAACTAAAAGTTGAGTAGGGAATGTTTTTTTTTTTAATTTTCAGTTTTTGCAATTGGAAAAATTTTGATGTCAGGACAAACTGGAGTAGTTCCTGAAAGGTTTGAGAAACACGACCAGCTAATAGAGCAGTGGTCATTCAGCCCATTTTTCTGGGACACTAGAGACCACGGTATACTGCTCTTCCACATCACAAATATATATCCCTGCTATCAGGCAGGCAACCTTGTTTTCTAATATGTAGAAATTCCAGGATCATAAGATAATATTTTTGGATATGTTATCTATGCAGTTGCACTCTGGATTATTATTCCTTTGAAAAAAAGAAAAAAAAAAGTTATTCTTAGGTACCTGTCTGAAACTAGATGTTACATATGCTACAGAAGATACTTGCTTTATGTTTTAATGCTCTTTAAAGACAGTAGGAAGCCCACAGTTACCTAAATGAATCCTAGAGAGTGCATGACCTGACTGTAGTAAGTTTAGCCTCCATAAAAGAACCTCCTGTGTCCCTTCTTTGCTGCTTACTGGGATCCACTGCTAATTTGTGCTTTGCCAAATCCTTCTGTGATCCACCTTAGCCACTGAAATGATAGATTACCCCAACAAAAGGAAAAATAAAATTTGATCAACTTTCCGATGAAGCAGTTTAAGTAAGGTCAGTCAAAAACTGTACAGGTCCAGGAGCAACTAGGAGGATCCTATCACTCCTTTTGCAAAAGCAGTGGAAAGAAGAAGTGAAGGTATTATAAGGGAGGGGAGACAGAGAGAAAGAAACCAAGACCTTTCTGTTGGTTACACGCTGTTATGCTGAAAGTTGACTCTCTTGCTTGTGGAATATCAGACTAAGTCTGCTTCACAGATTACATGTTCTACTCTTTATCACCCTGTAGGTTTAACTTTCAAATTTTTCTTGTCCTTAACTTCAGCTTATGCTGTTAATTTAAGGTGATTTATACAGTATAGTTTTCATTGTTCAGTCATATCAGCTTCATTGTTTTTTCCCTTCACAAGAAGACCATAAGAAAACATAATGTTACCAGTATCTCACATACTACATTTTCACTAAAAAGGTTTCAGGTAAACCATCTAATTTGCCACCAATAATCACAAGGCGTTACTCATGAAATAGGGTATTAGTAGATTGTTCCATTATTTTTAAGTGTTTTAAGTGTTATCCTAACCCTAACCCTGACCTGACCTTTGGAGACATGATGTAGAGATGCATCTTTCAGGGATGTGAAAGGTGTTTCAATGGAAACAGTAACAGCATTAGATGAAATAATATCAAAGGTTCTTTTTCTCAGCTCACGCTCAGAAGTAGAGACCATAATGTTCTTTTTGTTAGCACAAAGACAAGCTCTTGCAGATTTAGCAGAATGAATGACACAGATCTCTTTTCAACTGGAAAAAGCTCTTTACCAGTAATTCTGTTGTATTGTGAGCAATTCATGAAGCCTTTCTTGAATTTCAGATCATTTGCTCAGTCTCTTGAAAGCAGTTAAAGAGTCAGATAATAATAAAGGCTTTGCTTGAATAATGTATGACTGAGGTTTAACATTTCTACCATGGTCACAGCCTATAGGGAAACAAAAGTTTCTAAATCTTTTCATCTTTACAGTGGCTGGTAAAGGATATTTTCTGTCACAGATACTTCAAAAATGGATATGAACCCTAAATTTTACTTTCAATTTAGTCAATGGAAAGATTTTTAATAATTTTAGTCACAATGATCTATTCTTCCTTTTCTCACCAGTAATTCAGCTTTTTATTTTTTTACTTTAAGAAGCAGAAAATGCTTTTGATATGAAATTAAATCAATTTAGTTAAATAATGCTGAGGATCAAACTTGAGTGAGGATAAATAAGAAGGCATAAAATTGTCAGTTCAGTAAGGTTACATACATCACCTGTTTTTATGTGTCTCACCTATTGTGCCCCTTACTGCTTCTGTGGCAATCTCTGTGTTTGGTTCCATCATGCAACCCTAGGCACCTACTTTTAGTCATCACCAAATTAGCACATAAACTGTGATGAATGAAAAAGTTAAAAGGCAGAAAAATATACGTCCCTCAGTGCTAATCAGGTTTCACTGCAGAAGAACTAGAGATCTTTGATCAGCTAACAAAGGTGATCTCAAATCCCTCTCTCGAAAAGAGTACAGTGTTTACATCAGGTTTCTAACCTGGCAATTAAGGATAAATGCACAAGCTAAAGTAAACGAGCAGGAAAACCTATAAAGGGGAATAGGAAAGAATTGTTTATGAAGTAAAAAAGGTAACAGCCTGATGAATTTAATTCTTTACTTAACACTTAGGACCTGCAGAACTTGGAGATAGTCTCGCTGGAAATACTATTATTAAAGAAAATGCAATAGGAACAACAATTTTGTGATAGAAGTTCTGTTACCCTCCTTCCATGGCTGGTTTTGTTCCATTCCTTCATAGTGTCCACGTGAGAATGGGTGACTATGTTGATTTTGTTTCTCCATACCTGTGTGCTCTTCCGCACTCTTGCATCTTATTCCTCTTTCATAAGTGATATGTGTAGGCAATAACACATATCTACCAGTCTTTAAAAAGAACACTGAGATTGTAGCACAACCATTAAACTATCCTTCCTTTCCCCTTCAAAACTCTAAAAAGCATGTCATTTAAACAAAGCTGAAAAGAAAAAATTCTCTCAACTGAACTGAGGGTTTGTAACACAAGCTATCACTTTTAGATATTATTTTAAGGAAATACATATTGTTATCACAAAACACATACTGGAAATACAATAATTAACTATATTAATTTCTTATATGAAACACAAGTAGTACACATACTTGATTTTCCTTAAGACTAAATTCTTGCCTTTTTTGCATGACTGTACAGGTACCAATCACTTTGGTTAGTGCTGGTATTAGTCTGCCCTCTGTACCTGTGTTTACACATGTCAGGTGAGACACACACATCTCAGTTACAATGACATAACTCTATAGTTTTTAATTCATGATGTGCAACAAATAAAGTATATGACACTAAACAATTAGGATAAAAGAAAGATGTATGCCCAAGTAAGTATTTGTACATGTATTAGTTAGCCAGAATTCCTGGGATTACTGAAATGAGAATTAATAGAATAAATTATCAGGTACCCAAAGACTTAGTAACTACAAAACACTTGAATTAAAGATACTTAGGCATAATTCCTTATGCTCTTTGCAAACTTTCTGAATGATGAACTGTTGAATCATTACATATTCTCAACACTGGGCTTTTGTAGTGTATGTATCTTACAAGAAAGAATTATTGAGGAGCACTTACCTCAGTTTACTTACTGCATAAAACAGCTGCAAATATTTATAGCTTTTGGCCCCACTGTGCCAGTTACCTCCCAAGGAAACAACAGATTATCTGACTTTTCTAGTAGAGGTTTTAATGAGAGCAGTAAGTTATTCTAAGCACTGTAAACATACAAGAAATTTCTGTACAGGAAGACTGATATATATATACAGCAAATAAAGGAATATTTGTTCAGCTGAAAAGAAAGATAAGGAGATATGAGACGATATGTGCTGTGAAATGAAGTCAAAAGACCCAGAGCTTCAAAAGCTCAGACCTTCAAATTTTTGTGTGGTATTTCCTTAACAGAGTCTCTTTCCTAGTATGACATCTCTTTTCCTACTGGCTGAGTTTCTCTTGGGAAAATAACATCACCATCAGCACACTGAGTTTTATCAGTTCTACAGCTTGTTTGATAAAGTCTGATCAAGGTACCAATATCCACTTCATTATTTATAAGCCACAGGTTGTGAAGAACAGTCTGCATGTCATTCTACTTGAATCTCCGGTGCCATGAACTGTGGAAACCTCATGGGAGGTTTAAAAACCTAACAAATTGTCTGGCAGGTAAGTGGGCTAGAGAAGGGAAGTATTACATCCAAATAGGAAATATTACCCTCAGAAATTATTTTCAAGACACAACAAGAATACCAGACATGCACACTTACGGGTTAAGCAAAGATTATAAGGGCAGTACTCTTTTAAACAATAAACTTTTTTTTTTATATGCTCACTCAGTTGATTAAAGACCTGTGAAAAACTAAACAGGTGGAGAAATAAAAAACCTATATACAGCAGCATTACAATATATTTTATAATAGTGAAGTAATTGTCTCTTTCCTTCCTAGAGATAAATTTGTGCATTTCACCTACACTAAAGCAGCATTCTCTCTAAGCAGAGAAATCAAGGAAAACTATGGGTTCATAATGCTTCTCTGAAAATGATATGTTCTGTCAGAGCATAGAATAAATAGGTTGCAAAGTCATCAAGTGTAACATCCCACTGAAAGCAGGGCCAACTTGCATCAGACTGCTTGAGACTATTTGAGTTATCAGCATATTCAGGGATGGATATTTCACAGCCCCTTTGGGTGCCTGTCTAGTGTGCAGCTACCTTCACAGTGAAAAAACAATTAACACAGGACTGGAATTTCCATCATTGCATGATGCCCTTGCATTGCCTACTTCTAGATGTTGTCAATACTAAATATTTATTACAAAAAAGTGATTGTCTATTGGATAGTCAAATTATCTGAATCCCTGTCATCATATGGTTTTTGCCTATTGTGCATTTTTTTTAAAGAATGTCACAGAAGCTTGGAGCCAAGTTACTGTGTTTATCACTCTATTTGGCAAGGACAAAAATCACTCTATTTGGCAAGGACAAAATAGCTACCATGACTCTCTCTGTGATGAGTTGAGAAACTGGTGTCTATCACACTCCTGCCAGATAGGAACTAAGCTGTGACTCTTCTTATCCAACTTTAGACATCTAATAGTTCGATGTTTAGTTTAAGTTATTAATATAGATTCCACCCAGAGACAAAAGGGACAGAGAAGACATTTCAGTTACTCAGGTCACTTTAAGCTATTTACTTGCAGCAGCTCAGAAGATGGTTTGACAACTGTTGCCAACAATAGGAAATGTAGTACAATCTGTCTTAAAAGTGATGACTCATTTTGACAGCTATTATCTTGTTCTACAATGGCTCTGCTAATTCTCTCTCTTCCTATTTTATAGACTTACTTTTGACTTGAGAAAATAATTGAGAAGCTCAGTTAAGCATTCACAAATCTCCCATTCTTACTTTCATAATAAAAATATTCCCAGCTTTAGCAGTATTCTACAGCTAGACATGAAAAGTACATTACAGGACCCTTTAGCATGACAGGAAATGCAACAGGTTCATTACAAGACTTTTATTACAGCTCATTACAGAACTCTGTCTTGTCCTTACCTAGCTTTTTATTGATGAGATACAATCTGGGGAAAGAGTAGTTACAATCAGCACAGATACAGCCATAAATCAGCCTGTGCCATCACTGAGCAATGAGGTTACTAACTAAACTATTCAGTAAATTATCAGCATTTCTACATCTTCCTTTCAGTAGGCGGCTAATTGAGTATGAAATTATTAGAGAGCTGCATTTTCACTGAAGTGAGGACATCTCATTTCAGTTACAAGTCTAGTATTTGCTTTTATAAAGGTGGACAAATTTTGAACCATATTTATCTACTTTTTGCTATGGTAATGTTTTAGGAATGATACTCCACAATTTAATGCTATCACTGACATTCTCCCAAAGCACAGGCCACTCCCTCTCCCCCTCCTCTTTATGTTGGGGCAGGCTGGAGTTGAGAATTGGAGGCACAAAAGGTGAAGATCACAGGTTAAGGTAAGCACGATTTACTGGAAACAGCAATGAGATAAGAAAACTGATAGTAATAACAACACTGTTAATAATATATCTTGCCCAACAAATATGTCTAATAACATCACTCAGCTAGCCCACTCATTTGACTAATGACAGCTAAAACTTAAGGAACTACTCTTTTTTAAAAAGAATCTGACTTTTAAATGGTGAGGACACTTGTGATATATACCTGATAAGAGACACTTCTGTAAGAATGATGATAAACAGAAATAGAGCTCCTTTTTATTAACTGAAGACCTACCAATAGATATACATAATTCATTTTACAGTTTGGTGGTTGTTGTGGTTTAACCTTGGACATCAATGAACCCCCAGAGAGCTGCTGATTTGCTCAGCCTTAGTGGGATGAGGGAGGACTACTGAAAGGGTGTAAGTGAAAAAACTCCTGTGTTGAGACATAGGCAGTTCAATAAAGAAAGCAAAAGCCGCGCAAGCAAATAAAGCAACACAAGGAATTTATTCACCACTCCCAACAGGTAGGCAGGTGTTCAGCCACCCCCAGGAAAACAAGGCTACATGATGTGTAATGTTGACTTGGGAAGACAAATGCCATCACTTTGAATGTCTTCACCTTCCTTCATCTTCCCCCCTTCTTTATATGCTGAGCATGATGCCATATGGTCTGGGATATCCCTTGGGTCAGCTGGAGTCAGCTGTCCTGGTTGTGTCCTCTCCCAACTCCTTGGGGCCCCTCAGCATTCTTGCTAGTAGGGTGGGGTGAGGAGCAGAAAAGCTTGACATCATGTGAGTTTAGCAATGACTAAAGCATTCCTGTATTATCAACACTGTTTCCAGTGCAAAAAAACCCAGCTCCATGATGGCTACTATGAAGAAAATTAACTCCACACCAGCCAAAACCAGGACAGTGTTTTGTCTTTCATGAATACCAGGCATACCCCAGAAGACTGGGGCATCAATTTTTCTAAAACAAGCATCTGTGTATTTGTGCAATTCAGTACCTTTCCGGTGAAACTGCAGTGATCCCAGCAGACATATGGACTTCAGCATTTCTGTTGTGTACATTTCTAAGCAACACTGCAACTGGATATATAGTCTACAGATTTCAGGATGGATTTCACCATCTTCTGGGCTGCAATAAAAGAGAAAAATGTAGTTAAGAATGAGACTAGAAGAATGTGGGGGTCATAAAATCCACTTCCTTACTGTTGCAAGCAACCATATCAAAATCAGCTTCACAAACTATTAAGCTTCTTCTACCAAACTCTATTTACAAACAATTCTTTAGATCTATAAAACTCTAGGTCTAGCACAGCAGAACTTGGGCTGTCTTTGGAAAGACTGCATGTCATTATGTCCTCTGTGTGTTCTTGGAAAATGGGTAAGGGACTATCTTCTCTTCAGAAGCTTTGTACAAGTATTTTCTGTGAGACTGAAGCCTCCTTTTGCCATCCAGTTTCAGTTACCCTTGGTCTTGACACAGATGCAGGAAGATTACCAGGCCACTTTTAACAGTCCATGTTCAGGTTACAAATCCATTATCAAGCATAATCAACCCTACTTTGAAGACACTATCATCAGAAACAAGTCAGTTTAAGCCTACTTGTTCTATACATTCTGCCTGAACTTGTTTTCTTCCATATTTAAATTACCAGTGGTGTGATCCTATGCACTGTGAAGAGAATGGGATACACAAGACTTTTCAGAGTAGTAGTAACAACCTTGAAAACAAAAATTGAAATCCTACACCTCCATTTAATTGCTCAGGATACCAAGAAAATAATTTACACATACTCAGGAACCAAGTACCACTTTTGAAGGCTGGAATCACAGAAGTGGAGAGCAGTACAATCATGAATGCTTAATCAAGAAAAAAATAAGGCTAAAAAAGAAAAGAAAAAACCAAAACCAACCTAACAAAAAAAACAAAACCTACACTAAAGACTGAGGAGAAATTATGCTGGAATTGGAAGAGACGAAGGACAATTGGTTCCACCTGCCAATCCATTACAAAGTAGATGTCATCAAAGAGGTAGGAAATTATGGAAGCATAAACTACAGTTGCTGTGATCTGTTACTATAGCAGCTACACCAAACACATGGTAATAAATCTGCCCATCCAACTTTATTTCTTTTGGCTAGATTATAATATGTTTATTTCTCTTAAGCCACTTTTCTACTTCCAAAGTCTCAATTTGTTGAAAAATGATCATGTGTTTATACTTTCTGCATCTTATAAATATAGAATAAAGCTATGGTGCAGAACAAAAAGGGTTCAACCACAATTCTGCTTCCCCCCTGCCCCTGCAATGTTTGCATCACCTACTCTTGCAGCCATTTTCTCAATGAGCACACAGAAACTTCCTTTAATGGAAAAAACTTTAGGAGTGTAGAGTTCCATTTACTTTCCATATTTAGGATGCGGGCCCAAAATCTAGGTCTTCAAACTTATTGCTTATCTCATGCAATACCTAAGTCCTGGAGCCCCACCAATAAATGCAGAGGCCCGTTCAGTTACTGCTTAAGTTTCCTAGATGTCTGAAGACTTCTCTTTGACCAAGGTTTCTTCTGTCCTGAAGCCATTGACTTGTCTATTCCACCAGAAGAGGATTTGGCCATACAAGTTCTTGTGCAAAGTGGAACCTGCAAAAAATTTAAGCCACTAGAGATGGTAATGATGACCTTTTTCTGTTCAATGATGAGAGATCTTTTGATTGGGAGATACAGTTCTACCCCTCTTTCTCATGCCAGTCAAGCTGAATCTGTCTAGCTCTTCTGAAAACTAGTATTACTTAACCACAAGTCTATCTCTATGAGAAACAGACACTATATTGTGATAAGGTAATTTCCTTGTAGCAGATTTAGATAAAACTTAAATATAGTTTTCTATTTTTCTCTGCACTATTTCAGATCTTAGAAAACCTCAGACCCTCTCAGAAGTCATGGCTACTACAGGAACTTTGTTTGCAACGTTCCTTTCTAGCTGTCACTGACAAAAAGATTTCAGTGTCTGCACACAGGTGTAAGGAAAAAGTGTTTTCCTTATACAGCTATTAAATTCCTATGAAACAAAAATGGTGAAAACTTTTATTTAAAACATTTTTGCTCTTAGTGACAGAATTTTTAATTGTGCAGACTAGGAAAGTGGCAATTATAAATAAGATGCTTGACTCATGAGCCAATTCAGATTTATTAGTGGCTTCCTATTTACAAATAAGCCTTCCTATTTAACAAATAAGTTGGAAGAGTATTCAAAAGCATAGTAATAGGCATTTTAATTGACTATTTTTGCTGTCATAAATCTAATGCGGTTCCTTTTTGCAAACTATATTTATGAACCAGAAATGTCAATAATATATGCATCTTCTGACCCATTCTTGTTTTCTTAAGAATATGGAACATTTCTAACTGGACTATGCGCAAAATTCTTCTCTCATTTGCCAATCCAGAGAAACTGCAGAGATATCCAAGAAAAATATTAAACTGAGTTTTTACAATGAGATATTTTACAATGAGAAGTATTTCCAGCCCAGTACCCTCACTGATTGTCTCAACCTATTTAATTAGTGTTTAATTCTAATAATGACCACAGCTATTCCACTAGTTTGCAACCAAACAATTTGCTTCTATGCATGTATATAGGCCCCATTTTCATCTCTGAAAGCCAAATGCTCTGATATGAATGCCTACAAAGACTTCTTTTATAATCCCTGAATTCTGTGTACAGAGCTTAACATTTCCTTTTAAAGTTTTATCAATTTTTCTATTTCTATGTGTACAATGCTATACCATGAGGAATGCTGAATGAGGGGCTAGTACAGACAAATTTCAGAACGCTGGTTATGATACATTTATTATTAACTATTATTAAGTAGTATTTAATAGTTATATGCCAAATGAATATTTATATATAAAGAAAAGTTAATGCAAACTTCTAAGCCAGCTGTTCAGGTAGTCCAGCTGATTTTTTAAGAAGACTGCTTTAGTTATTCAAGAGAAATCTCATATAATATGACCTTATACAAGGCTGTGCTAAATTGTGTTTGCAACAGAGCTATTTAATAGTTTATGTGCAGCCAGATACGAGAGCTAGCACAGCACTGAGCCCCTGCCCATGAGACACAGACCATCACCTCATTGTTGGCTTTATAAAATGCAATTACAAAAAATGAAAAGGCTGTGTTACTCCTACATAAAACAGCAGCTTAAGTTATGCAGTTTATCAGGCTGCTATTAAAAGTATAAATTTTTTGTAGAAACATACTTAAGCCTGTAAAATCTATAATAAAACTACTACATTCTCATGCTTTAACCATTGGCAAAATTGATGCCTTTCTTTCCATAAAATCCAGCTGTTTAAAAATCATGTAATAATGTAAAACCATGTGCAACTGAGTATGTTTATAAAGCATTGACAAGAAGTGGAATTTCCTTTCCTTTTTATTTTTCTAAGCTGAGGTTTAAAATAAAACCTAAAGAGGGAGCTCTTACACCACCTGTATAGTACCCAGTATCATTAAGAGAGGTAAATGCAGCTATTTTGGTAATTATTTTAAAATACTAAAAAAACAAGATTAAAATGCTCCTCCTTAAATGTAAAGAAAAAAAAGTAAAAATTAATTTAAAAGAAAATTTCCCTCCAAAATAGTTGACAGATGATTTCACTGTACAGTCACAATGCTGGTTACAACTGAGAAACATCTTGAAATTTTCCTGAATTCCCACAGGTGCCCAGCACTTACAGTTGCACTGAAATAAGTGAAATTAAGTGAAATTAAGTGAAACATAAGACTATTAAAACTGAAAAATTATTAGAGTCTGACTCTCAATTTAACTTAAAAACTTCAGTCACACATTTACAACAGAACAGCATTTTACTTTTAGTATCAACAACATTAAAAAATATAGACAGATGGACTATCTCTGGTAAGAGTAGCTAAACTATATGAAGGGTCTGATAAACTTTTTTGTAAAAGCATTCTTTTGACAAATTCTATGCTTAACAGCAAAGAAAAGTATTAATAGTTCTTAAATATTATAAGCTCAACGGACTATCTAGATATATAATGAAGACTGTCTTAAAAAGCCAAAGGAAAATAAACATTTGTCAAGCAAAAAGTGAAAATTAAATCATCAAATTCTGTCTTATGCTCCACATACGTACTTTCCTTGAAAAATAATGTAAGTTGGCTTGATGAGCTGTGAAAAAAATCACTGTCCATAAATATTACCCTGTAGATTGTATTTTAAGTTAGTATCTGAAAACACTGTGGTTTAGAAATACGAAGCAGTAAAAGGATGAAAAAGATGAAAAACAAATCTTACCTCAGACATTTGATCCTTATGTTGGGACAAAAAGTGTGACAAACACTGCAGAAGAGATACACTTAATCCCCTTATATATCAAGTACCAGATGCCCCTCTGATTACAGCTCAGGCTCAACAGCCTACTAAACCTGCCTCTGCTTTTGTATCTTAAACTGATTGTTTATTTCTTTATCATGTAACCATACATCTTTGAAGGCAACAAAATGAAGGTGAATTCATTTTGAATATAGGTAGAAAAATTGTAATCCAACGATGATGTTTTCCTCTGGGAAAATGTTATTTTATTCTACCATTTTCTGGGGTTATTTTTTAAAAAAAGTTACACAAACTGCTGTCAGCTTCAGTGCCATGTGTTGGTTTGTTGCTCTCTACATAAACAATATTGTGATACAGCTGCTATTCCACATCCCAATCCAGCCAGGAGAAAAGCAGGGCTTGTTCTTTCTAGCAGACCCATAAATTACTGCAATGCTGTTCTTATTAAATCAGATTGTTGTTTTGAAGCAGTTGCAACAGCGCTCACAGTAACAGAAGACATGTCATCAGGTTTCGTTTTGTTAGAACACTGCAAATCTCCAGTAACTCTGATAAGGATGATGGAGTCAATCTGAGTATATGATACAGCAGAACAAAACCACAATGCAGTGACTCATACGGTAGACATTGCTACCTCCCATGTTGATAACATTTTAGATATTTCCATGCTAGAACAATTTAGATACATATAGATACAACTGTAACATTTTTTTTGAAAAAACATCATTTTGAAACTATCAGAATCACAGGCCAGAATTTTATAGACTT